AGAAAATGTGCAAAAATAGGAGACCACTCGTATATTTCGGGACTGCTCAGTAATTCAGGGATTTAAAAAAAATATATCACGGAAGAAATTGACAAAATGTTGCAAATAAATACATAATAAATTCCCCTGGCGGGCCTGTTGAGAAGTATACACATAGAAACATTCTTTTTTTCTGACAAGAAAATGATAAGAGTGAACTGGGTCTACAAAATGTGTTTTTTTTACAGTATTGTATGGTAAATTTTATTAGCTAGAATTTAGATGTTCATAATTAAGATGTTTATTTTTTTACAAGTGGATTTTCAATTTCTTAAAACTATTTAAACAAACCCCTTTTATACAGATCTGCTCAGTGGTACTAACACACACACACACGCACGCACGCACACACACACACACACACACGTAGACTTGTGTGAACGTGAAATGTCTCTTCTCTGTCAGTCAAACTAATTTCCATCATTTGCTCCACTTGTTCCAGCTGTTCAGACCACAATGTTGCTCGCAGCATAATCTCATTTGTGTGAATTTCTCCTTTCTATTTCCTCCTCACTGCTCTTGCCTCAAAGTTTCATTCCTTTGTCATTGCTTTGGTACTGCAAGTTGAGCATCTCACACCACAGCATCCTCTGAGCTCAGCCTGCAGAGCTGAAGCTGCCTCAGAACTGATCGACAGACACAAATGAACCAAAACTCCGATTTTTACACACAAAAATAAAATAAGAACCTCGGTGAAGAGTAAAAGCTTATATAGAGGAGACATGTGTCTAAACACAATGACTTATTAAAGAGCTGGGACTTGTAAATCACTAAAAGAATAGTCCGGTCATTTTGAACAGATCTTCCTGTCAAATATTCAGTCATGACATCAGGGTTAAAGAACGGAGAAGAAAAGAGCAGAAGTCACAAGCTAAGCTAAAGGCTAACCAAACAATGACCAGCTTGTATCATTTTCAGGCTCACAAAGCAGCTTTATCTCAACAATGTCATATACTGGTGTGAAAAAACACCACATGAGCAAATTAAATGTTTAAATGTGTGGGTATAAAATAAAATAAAGATGAATTATAGGATTTTAATATTTTTTGTTTATTTGTTCCTTTGTTCTTTCTCTTTAAATACATTTGCGTGACAATAAGAACTACATCACAGGAATATTTCACACATATTACGAACTACAGCTATATTTTAAAGCATTCAGGATACATTATAATACAGTACCTTAAAATAAATGTGTGTGTTTTTTCTGTGCAATGAGGTATACTGTACCTGATTTGACCAAACAGAATTATATTTAAATCTTTATCTGATGTGTTCACAGCATCAAATGGGAGTTTTCAATAAATGCAATGTGTCACTAGAATCCAAATAATGTCAATGTACTTCTAATTCTTCTATTTTAATGTTTTTGCACTGATCAGGTCACAGTTTATTTGTACTAACAGCTACATAAATAGTAGGTACTAGGGATGCACAATATTATCGGCATGGTATTGATATCAGACGATATTAACAATAAAGTTAAATATCTGCCATCGGCCATTCCATCAAAATATCTCACCGATATAAAATAGCACTGCATCCTAGCACTGCAGGCATATAAAAATGCCTGCAGTGCTAGGATGTTATGACATCATGCACGCCGTTGAGTTTAGATTTGTGAAAATTTACAAATTTGCACTGTTCCGAGTGTTGTCATTGTGTTAGAGAGAGTAAATGTCATGAAAAAAATTTGACTTTAAACATAATCCAAGTTGAAGTGCTGCATCATTTTCAGACCCCTTTTAGGCATCTGCATTTGGTAGCAGGTCAAATTGACAAAGACCATGCAGAAGAATGTGGTACCGGTATTTTAATACCACAGGAGAGAAAGCTATGTCTAAAAGGTAGTCTCTGTAAGTAGGTCTAGAGCAATAAATATTGGCATCAGTATTGGTTATCGACCAAATAAGTTTTAACATATCGGCGTATCGGATATCGGTCAAAAATCCAATATCGTGCATCCCTAGTATGGACATCTTGTCATTTTTGAAATAACGTAACTAGATGATTCGATGTTTACAGTGATCGAGTTTACTGAAGTTTGGAGCTGACACAGAGATTCACAGCTTGTGAGGGTAGATAGTATGCATTGCAGGTAAGGAATATCCAACTTGTGGGTTTAACAAATGAAAGGGGAGAGCACAGGCTCAGCTTCTTTCTTGTGTAATTTGACTCTGCTTTGTGGAAAATATCCCAGCCATCCTGAGCTCTATTCTCAGACCTGTCAGTTCACACCAATCCCACCGAGGCCCGGGGCTGGACCGGAGCCTCGGCTGGCTGCCCTTGTCCAAAAGCATGTGTGATGCTGAGGAAGGCCAGGTTACAAACAAGTCCCCGCAGAGAACGGTTGTATTACACACGTCCTCCACGTAGTCGTTCGGCTTACTGGGATGCATTTGGACACGAAATTGAAGCCAACTTTGATAAAGGTCTCTGCTACAGCTGGTAAAGAAATTGATCGTTTTTAACAAGTGGTCAATAGTTTAATACTGTACCTACTGTAATTGCCGGTGTATAAGCTGCTTTTTTCTCACGCTTTGGACTCCGCGGCGCAGCTCATTTCTGTATTTTTATTCCAATAATTACATTTTGTTTTCTCCCACGAGTCACAAGGACCCATCCCGGAAGAGAGACATGAGTTAATGAGACTGGTAAATAAAGGTAAAAAAAAATAATAATAAAATTTAAATCTGACCAATGAAATTTGGCTAAGGAGCTTCTTGTCACCAGAAACATTTGCCGGAGGCTTCATGTCACCTGGACACTTGCACAGCTGCCCAGTACACACCTCTACTGGGAGTAGGTCTTTGAGAAACAGCTGGCGTGACCACTAAATGTGACCAGTACCAATCTCACTCATGGTTGTTGCATGTTTCTAACACATAAAACATATAAACTATTAAGGTAAGAAAAAAACAACCAACTACCGGTTTTGAATAATTCAGTTGTGTAGATGTTTAGCGGTTTTCTCCAGTGATTACAGATAATGTGTTCTTAGACTAGTTTTTGCACTCGTTCTGTAGGTTGAATGGTTATTTACCGTAGTAATTTACTGGTAACCATGAGTCAGAGACCGTCTCATCATTCATTCAACCTTTATTTATACAGGTTAAGTCCCAGTGAGCCTCAGGAAGTCCAGTGAGAATCAGCAGTGAGTGTTGAAGGCAAACCAACATAAGAAACACCATCTGGTGGTTCATTCTTGTACTATAACAAGGGCTGCACATCTTACCAGGAGCTGTGTACAGTTTGATATTAAATTGTGGACATCTGTGGCTTACACATCAGCACGTCTGATTTGTGTACAAAATTGTGTTTTATACTAAATTAAGTATGCGCGGCTTAGTCAGATGCGTTCTGGCAATTACGATATTTAATATACCAATAGAGGGATTTCAGTGAAGCTCAAGTAAATCCTAAAGGTTTAGGCAGAGATGTTACACAAGCTGTTGTGTTGGAGACAATGTCCAGCTAATACAACAACTGTTTACACCTGTAAAACTGTTACAGCTATTTTTGCCTCTTGTAGCAACCAATCAGATCAATGTCAACCCAGTGACTACTCTCTGAAACCTATTTGCTAATATTAGTTTAATCTTCTCAAAAAACCCATTTCTGACTGTAAGATTATTATTTTTTACTTTTTTCTCATTTAATATGTAAAATCCAAGCTCATCTCTAAATGATGGCCTCCATGTTATTAGCTTATAGCTCGCAGCTTAATTCAGGATAATAAAGACTTTAAACAAGTAGTTTGGTTAGATCCAGTCTGGATAAGCATCATGATAACAAACGGCATGCTGACATCAGATCTGTTCAGATAAGCCCACTCTCTCACTCTTTACTTTTTATTACTTCCAATTACTGAGCAATTTGCGTTCAGGCAAACAATAAGCACTGATTGCACCCTCTGAAACTCTTATATAACAATGATGTGATGATTACAGCTCACAGAAGACAATGTCCCATGAATCCTTCCAAACTACATTTGGTATTTATACAAACAGCCACCTCACACACACACACACACACACACACACACATGAACATGTGCACCTAAAAATGACAGGAGCGCTGATGCCAAGTGAACTGATAACATTTCCCCTTCAGGTCATCTCGTTATTGAACCATGGATGATTTAATAAAGTCATAAAAAGGAATGAATGAGATAAATTACACATAAGATTGTTGTTTCACACACACAAAAAAAAAAAAAACATCACACACACAGCTACACATCAGTTGTGACATGACTACAATAAGATCCAAAAATAACATCACAGCACTGCAAACGCTGGTGCGTTCACGACCTTCACTTTTGAAGCCGTGGCGGTATCTGCATGAACGTCTCGCAAGTTTCTCTATTCCAGGCGACAGCGAGGAGGTCGTTAAGTTTCCTGGTGTGACCTCTGCAGATAAATCTGCCCATTCTCTGTTACAGCACAGGCAGAAGTTAGGCTTTTTATGATCTCCTGCAGCAGAAAATGACAACAAACAAACATGCAACATTAAAAAAAGGACACTGCATTAACTAAGTTTAATTAGCAACAGTAATTAAGTAAAATAACACATTTGGCATATCACAAACAGAAAATATGTTGTTTTATTTGTTGCCAAGTGATACAACAGCTTGGCACTAAAAATAAATGCAGATTTTACTGCAAACCTTATGCAACATCTGTAGAAATGATTTAGCAGATGTCTGTCCGAGAGAGGTCGTTATTACTAGAGAGAGAGGCGGCACTGATTGTGGAGACTCGTTTACCTGGAAGTTCAAATTAACTGCACGGCTCCGCTTGAAACGAGCGGAGCTATGGTGCGATATCGCATCAAGTGCTGGGAGCCCTCTTCAAGATCCACAACGTACTCCCTGAAACAAGAGGCAAAACATTCAAAACACACACCGTGGACAGATAACACTGCCACCTTCTGGACACTAAACTGAACTTGAAGAGTTGTTACCTCTGATCGTCCGTTTCAGGCTCAACAAAAATGTTTTCTTGTCTCTCCTTCACTCGCAGAAAAACGAAGGAGTCCAAACAGGGCTCAGGCACTGGGATAAGATAAAAATGAACCAGTCAATCAGTAAACGCCACCATCAAGCCTGACTTGCAACAGACAGAATATTAAAGGGGATTTTGTACCTGCTTTGAGCATATCCACAGTCTGTAAGTTGGACGGCATGCGTTTCAGCGCTACAGCCTTTAGGTAGGTTTCTGTGCTGGCATAGTACCTGTATGCAACAATTAACATGTTTTAGGTTTTATTCTAACCCTGACTTTCACAAGAATAAACAAAAGGAGCATCAAGCTTCTAAACTCACTCTTTGGCAAACGCAAACTCCTCAGGAGAAAGCAGGGGCGGCTGTCCTTCAGCCCGAGACCTTTCCTTTTCCAGGACATGAGGGAAAAACTTTTCAATCTGGACAAATACAACACAAAGAGGTGTATTTTTTTAACAATATGCACAAAGAGGAAGACCGTGCCGAGCTTTACTTCAGCGGGTCAGAATGACTGACCTTCAGCAGACAAGAGCGCAGGTAGCTGCTGAGGACATAACGAATCCTGTCGATTTCCATGCGATGAACACTGGCCTTGGCATCGCCTGTTTTTACTCGCTGCAAGTTGGATTCCTGTTTGGAGAAACAGCACAACGTTTTAAGACACCAATACACCAAATATAAACAATAAAAGATTGGAACATCTTCTCAAAAATAACTCGTACTATACTCACCAAAGTTTTTAACGTCATTGTTTAACTAAAAGAATATTCAGGTCCATAAACAAGCAAACAATGGATGTAACCCTCTTGCTGCCCTTGGATCAAAACTACCCATAAGGCCTTAGAAGGCCTGTCACAATAACAAATTTTGCTGGGCGATTAATTGTCTCAGAAATTATTGCGATAAACGATAAAATTGTTTGAAATTTGACAATAATTACAAATTATTGTCAAATTTAAGAAGAAATGTTGGTTAATTTGTTTTGTGTGTAGTACCTTTTTTTTTACCACTGGATGGCAGTACAAGACCGTTTGAACCGAAGGATGGATAGTGAGGGAGCGAGCAGTGTGTCTCTTTAAGAAAAACGGGAGGGAGGCCCCTTGACGTGACATGGGCTGTCTCTCCTTCCTTTATTCGGTTCTCAAAATGGCAGACGCTCGGTGTGGTTTGAGCTCTTTAGCATAGCATTTTTCACACAAAGCTTTTAATAATAAAATCAGTAAACAAGTTCTCAGCTTCTTTATGCAAAGAAAAACAACTTTTTAGACAAAGGCACAGGTTTCAACCGTGAATTTTAGAGCTTGGACAAGACGGAGGTTTTTTCCCCCGAGGTCGGCCCGTTACCTTAGCTCGTAACTTAGCTTCTCAGCTTAGCTGCTTTTAACGATCCAAAAATGTGATTTTGGACGATTAAAACAAATTTAAAAGATAAAAGAGAAAGGGAGGGGACAGTGAAGAGCAACGGAGTTGAGCCTTTTGTCATCCAGTGTCTTCAGTAGAAAGAGAGACATGAAGAAACGATAAAGACGATAGAAAATGATGTCGATAATTTTCATTTATAAGCGATTAACTGATTTATTGTTTATAGCGACAGGCCTAGGCCTTAGTCTTAAAACCGAGTCTTCCTAGGTTATTTTGACCCAAGGGCAGCAGACGGGCCACAATATTTAGGTAAAAACTTGTATTTCATAATGTAGAGCAGGGATACTCATTGCGTGGCTCGTGAGCCACATGCGGCAATAATTGCGCATGTCGGCTTGGGCTTCTTTGATGTGGTTTTACGAACAATATTGTGTTAATCTACTTGTTGAGGAGGAGGCAGGTCCGACCAGCCGGTAGAGGTAAAAAACAAACAAACAAAAAAAAGTCCTGTTAAGCTTCAGATGTATTCGCTGATCATCACCGACCGCGTGCGTCCGCTGACCCACCGGTCTAAAGATGTAAAAAATGTCCTGTCAATCTCAAATGGATCAGCTACCGGCCGTGCGTCTCCGCACCTGCGGTGATCTGCAGTGAAGGAAGTAGGAGCATCTTACAGGGCCAGTTCTAGACATGGTTACATGAGGGGGCAGGAGGAAATGTAAAGAGGGTCATCTTCATCCGTACACATACTACAGCATATTCATTGTTGAGCATGGACTTTGGTATTCAGTGTTATTGTTGCTTGTGTTTTCCTCATGGGATAAAAGCTGAAATTTTGACACCTGTGAATCAACATTTTCAACCACACTATCAAGCAAAAACAGAGAAGCCGACTGATGCCCATCTTGAATGCCTCGCTGTGGCTGCAACAACAAATTACAAACACAACATGAAGAAAGTCAAGGACATGCACCACAGCTTCTCATCTCAGTACCAAGGTGCATTTTGTTGAAACAGATAATGAGCTGGCTGTGTTTCTTTTTTGTTCACAGGTGGGTTGTTTCATTTTATTCTTTTATTTGAAGTAACTTGGGGTGATATCGCGGCTCTCCCCTTGACTTTGATCTGTCAATATGGCTCTTTTGAAAAAAAAAAATAGTGAGGATCACTGATGTAGAGCTTCTTAATGATCAATGTGACAATCATTTAAACAGCACAATCTGAACATTATGCTGGGAGTGATGGCGCAGAGGTTAGAGAAGGTGGGCCAGTGACCGGAAGATCGTCGGTTCAACGTCTGGTACTGACAACATCAAAATGTGGGTGGGAAAGCTGAAGCACCCACACCTGCCTCCATTCTCATTTGCTCCACTCTGGGCCCTTGAGCAAGGCACCTAACCCCCACCATCCGCCCTCCCAGACACCCTAGATGGCAGCTCTCTGCTCCACACAGAGGGCTGTGGTAGCTCGGTGGTCTGTGGTTGTGTCAGGAAGGTCATCCGGCGTAAAAACAATAGCCAAGTCTGAAGAAGGGAGCAACCGAAAGAAAAAAATAAATAAAATTTAAAAATCTGGACATAACATAGCAATTTCCTGTTTCATGTGAATATTTGGAGATTTATTCTTGTTTGATCATAACAAGGAAGGGGGAACCTTGAGCTCCTGGAAATTAATTAGAGACTTTTCCCACAACTTTCTTTATGATTTACAGACTGACTACCAACTAGTTTCATGGATGGGTGGAACGTGTAATAGCTAATTAATTAAAAATGTGGTATATTGCGTGATATGTTCAATTTCAAATATTATAAATACAACACTGATTAGAGTCAGTTGTGTCATGACAGGAGTTTTATTTCTTTAGGGCAGGTTAGTCATCAACCTGACTGTAAGGTTGTGTGTGTGTGTGTGTGTGTATGTGTGTGTGTGTGTGTGTGTGTGTGTGTGTGTGTGTGTGTGT